AAAAAAAAACAAAAGATCATAGTTAGTACCTGGAGCATGAGGGCATGTGGTGAATGAACAAATATTGAAGGGTTATCCTTAGGGGATGATTCAAGGCATAGCTGAGCATCGGTAGCCCGTGGATTGTAGGTAAAAGCAATAGCACTGGAAAGTTTGCCATCATACAATAAAAGTTTGTGGTGGTCAGCAAGGAAGAGGTCACTTTCTGCTTTGAATTTAAATGTACCCTAAAAACCAAGAGAAAAGAGAACAGTTAAGGCAGTATGCTATCAAAATGGAATCTAAATGGTAATCAACATATAAAAATAAGAAGAAATATTATTTATGATTTTTCCTGCAAGAGGAGTTCAAGTTGTTTAATAACTTCTATATTGGCTCCAATTCATTTTAAAGCTTTAATGGAAACAAGGTCATTTTGACATAAAAACCTTGATAAAATAGAAAACGCTTTATTCTGTACAGCATATTTTGTCTTTCAAATAAAATTTCTAAAAGACCATAAACAGGCATTAAAAAAATAACCATTTAAAGCAGCTAAAGGGAACATCTTCAACTGCCTATTAATTGTAGTATTTATGAGGAAGAGTTCGTTTACCACTCAGAACTTGGTATCATATACAAATATAAAAATAAATGTAATATTCCCTGAAATAATGTTTAATGAAAGTTAATTAGAATGAAAACACAGTCAACTGCATGTATTTAAAATAAGTCTCTTTAGAGGAGAAACACCTTCTAGGTTACTGAAAAATGTAACTTTTATTTTGTTTTTAAATTAAGAAGCATATAATAGTGAAGATTATATAGCTAACCTTCCAGTGGCAAACAAAAGAAGTCTAAAAAGAGCAAATGATAATCAGCATTCAAAAAAGTTCATTTGTGGTTGACTCTGGAGAACATTATGCTGAGTGAAATATCCCAGTCACAAAAGGACAAATATTACATGATGCCACTGTTGTAGAATGGGACTAACCCCAGGGTTGGGGAGAGATTGAATAAGATGTGTTCAATAATGTATACTGCACTGAAACAGAGGAGGGAGAAAACTGCGTAAAAGAGATATGTGACTAGGTATTTCTGTCATCACAGGAGTCTAGAGCGAGGGCTACACGGTGGAGGGGACCTGGGGGAGGGTTTGGAAAACAATGAAAGAATCTTTTCTTTTACTTTTCCATAATTTTTGACTCATGTACTTATAACTTGTTAGTTAAATTTGTGTCTTCTAGGTTGCAACCCCCCCATGATACATCTTCAGGGATATGAACATGTACAGCTAAGCACAATTAATAACAGTGCATCTAAATTCCAAAATCAATCTCCATAATAGACTATGTGTTTCCTACTGCCAAAGGGGCCCTTTAGAGTAGTGAGAGAAGATCTTCACCCTGAAACCCACAGCGTCCCTTTTCAGCAGGAAGTAGCTAAGAGAATACGCCATCCCCTTTTCCTTATGAATCAGGGTGAAGTCTCTCTCTGGGAGGAGTGATAGGGAATGGCAAAGGACACACCGACAAAGGAGATTAATCAGAACTGACTTTGACAAGCACTGTGGCAATTGGACAATTAAAACAGACATTCGGATGGCGGGGAAGAAGAACAAACTGGGGAGGAGGGTAGAGAGAATGGTGCAGCAATGAAGGAATGAAAACCCAAAAATCCCTGTAAATGTTCATTAAAACTAATAAAATTTAATAAAATAAAAAAAGAAGAAAAAAAAGTTCATTTGTGGTAAAGCCTAACCAGTACAAGAAAAAATTTATTACCTTAAGTCAACACTTAAAGACATATTTGTTTCAGAAATACCTAAGTAAACACTTTCATTTGTATTCTATGTGGAATTTATGACTATGCCTTGATTTTTCCCAAGTTTAAAATAGACAAATACTAAAATTGTTGTTGCTACTCAGCAGAAAACCTAACTCAAACTAAAAAATCAAAAATAAACTATCAGAAGGATTATTTTAATCCTAACCTAGGTATATTGTTTTCTTTTTAATTGTCAGTATAAAATGGTGTGAATGTTCTCTTTTACAACTAAAATTCTGTGTTTCAAGAATTTAAAATTACTACAGGTTAATTAAATAAGCTATGAAAAGTTACAAAACTTAAAAGTTTTAATACTTATTTTCTACAATTAATTCTAACATATCATCACTTCTAATTTATGTGTGAATAGAAATTTCTTGAACAATGAAAAATAGACATTCTAAGAGTATATTAAGATAAAAGTCTTCGAATAACTCATGAAATAATTACACAAAATAAATAGTCACGACTTCATTTTCTTTTGAAATCTATTTTTTAACCTTTAAAGGAGCTAATCAGTTACAATGTTTTAAAAGACAGTCCAGGATTCCTGATAACCATCTGTGCTAGTGTAAAAGAACCCCCCACCCCAAAAAATTAAAATAAAAAATGGTGCAGAGACAAGAATTGGGCTGCTAATTCTTAAAGTCAGTGTTTCAAATCCACTAGCCATTACACAGGAAAAAGATAAGATGGTTTGCTTTCTCAAAGATTTTTGGTTTTGAAAAATCCTGTGGGCAATTCTACAGGGCTGCTATGAGTCACTAAGCAAAAGTGAACTAAATCATGCTCGTCTGTGGTTGTTCTTGATTGCCATCAAATTGTGCACACTACTCATAGTGACCCTATGAACAAAAGACCTGAAGACTTTCTATAACTATCATCATTTCTCAAAGTTCACAGAATTTCTAGAGGCATGTTGTTTAGGAAGTGGATGCCACTCCTGTCTATGGCAGCTTAATTAAGGAATTCAGCAAGCCATGGATTTTAACAATAATAAATAAAGCAAAGAATTACTCCATTATTGTCATGTTCTCATCTTACATCATTTTTACTGCATTTTATCACTTACTTCATCATCAAAAAGTAAGGACAAGGAACGCTATTCTTATAATAAAGGCAATTATCTATAGGCTCAGGATATGTTAAACACTAAACTCAGCAGTTATTGCTACTCATTTACTACTAAAATACTCTGACTCACAGTATTATTTCAAAGAAAGAAATAAAATGTCAGGGATTTTAATTTTTTTTTTAAACATACAGAGAAACAATAAGTCACTGTATTAAAACTGAGTTTCAAGTAAGATATCAATCACAATTTTTCAAAAAAAATTAACTGATGTATAAATTTCTTATGATATTGTAATACTAACTACAAAACACTTTGGTAACACAATGTTATAAGAAATCTAAATATTTGTTAACTCTTATTGTAAGAAACTCTATATCAATCTAGGTTTAAGAAGTATCTTCTATGGATATATTCCTGATTATTATAGAAGTTAAACTTCTGTCAAACCTCAATTAAAATGTGAATTTATAGCATGTAACTATTATGTTATTGTTGTGTGACATAAAGTCAGACCAACCCACAGCATAATTAACCCTCCAGTGAGTTTTCAGAGGCAGTTTAATTGCATAGGAGGAGACTGCGCATCCTCCTGAAGAGCAGTGGTGGGTTCAAACAACATGCCTTTGGGATTTCAGTGCAGCTTCTTACCACTAGGCCATGAGAGCTCCATAAAACACTGTGTAGATCAACCAAAAAAATGTCTACTGTTTTAACAAGAACTCATACCTGTAAAATCAGAATCTACTACTAACTTGCAGGTTTTCCATACCCTCTAACAGGTTTTCAGAAGCAATCAAACCCACAGCCGGGGACTACCCATCTTTCTCTTATAGAGCAGCAGCTAATAGATTCAAACCAGCCACTTTTGGGTTAGTAGTGCTGCTCCTTACTCAGCAGGCCATCAGAACTCCCTTAACAAGAACAGAAAAGACTTTAAAACCCAGACTATCAAAAGCTTTTATCCTAAGGGTCCAAACTTTTTCTCTATTTATGGCATTCTGTTTTTGTGGTGATTTGGATGCGGTGTGTTTATTTTTTCTTCTTTCACTAAACTGTCAAACTCAAACTCATCATCACCAAGTTGAACAAACTCAGAGTAGACCCTCTAGCAGTGTTAAGGATGTGCAGTGTTAGCCTAAAAGTTGATTTTTTATAGCCATTACAGTTAGCCTCAATTGATCTCCAGCTACCTTAACTGCAATCACATAGTCTAACAAATCACAAATCACCAACAGCTGTGGGAGTAGGATAAGACAAAGTGCTTCCACATTGGATGCCAAGACTTGTACCAGTAAGACTTGAGGCAAGCAAGACTTGTAGAGGCAAGCCTTGAGGAAGACTGGAGTAAGACCCTGGTGAAAGTGAGACCCTGTGATAGAAGACTGTGGCATTGCTATGGAGAAACTGTGGCAAAATGTAAGCAAAGGAGCCCTGACATAAAGGCCACAGTTAAAGGGCTTTGCTGTTCTTGCCAGATATTTGAAGAAGACGATCACATATAGGGTTCATAGGCAAACATTACTAGAGAATTTGGATTCAACTGCTGAATTAAAACTAGAGCCTGGACTAATTGCAGAATTGTACCTTGGAACTTGAGCTAAAACTTGGACTTATTTTGGGTGATATTCTTTGCCTCATATACTCTTCAACCTACTTCCCAAATAAATGCCATTGTCAACATCACAACTGTCAGACAAGAATGAATAAATGAACCTCTTGCTATTGTTGTCGCTCTTGAAGCAAAGTGGGACTTGATTATGGGCTCTTTATCTGTTTTCTGCTCTGGGGCAGCGAGAGGCTGTTGTAAACTTATTCTCACTAGTCCATTCAGAGAGACATCCACAGTTCTGTACTGCCATGTCCAGATTTTTGCTCTCTAGACAGAATGTTATAAACTGCAGAGAAATACACTGTTCACTATTCTTCCACGGAGCCACTTACAGACTCAAACCACCAGAGAGGCATCACTTTTGGGTTAGTAGTGCAACTCCCTACGCACCCCAACGGCAAAGCTCCCTCATACAACTCTATGCTAAGACAGTCCAAAAGTAGTTATATTTTAACTACTTCAAACTCATTTAAAAACACTAATGCACACAATAAAAGAAAAAGAATACTCTTACTTCATTCTTAAATAAGCAAATGTATGTATTAATAGCAAATCTGATATAAATGCTAAAACATATTTTAAACTGTTACCCTCATTTCCTGTTCCACATTGATTTTTCTCATAATATTTGAGGGTTTTTGTTTTTGTTTTTGTTTTTGTTTTTTAACTGTTGCAAAAACCTTTACTGTTTCATTTGGTCCAAGGCTTGGGCAAGGGGCTTCTGGGTGGATAAGATTCTACATCAGGGGGAAAGAGAAGCTTGCTGCTGATGGCAGGGGGATGCAGAGGTCCCCCCTGCAAGTGCCTGCAGGCCCATAGTCGTGCTTGAGAGTGAGATGCTTAAAGAGATACTCGCCCAGCCCAGCCTGGGGGCTGCCCAGTTTTCTAATGTTGGTGAGACAGTCACCCATCTTCTTCAGCAGTTTCACTTCCTTATCCAGGAAGTGGTTCTCCAGAAAGCCACAGAGATGTGGGTGAGTGTGGGCAGAAGCCATGGTGTGCAGATCTAAAAGGGTCTGGCTTAGGTTCTTCTCCAAGGCCAGCGCTGCTTCCACGGTGTCCAGAGTTTTACCCCACTCATCCTGGGATGGCTTCTGGATATCCTGGAAGAGGACACAGCTCTGGCGCTGGTTTTGCAGCTTCCAGAGATGCTCAGCACCCTTGCACTTCTCCTTCACCAACTCGCGGAAGAAGTGTCCCACACCTTCCAAGGCCACATCATCAAGGTCAAAATAAAAACCCGAGAGCGGTAGGTGTAAAAGGTCTGCATGTACAGGTTGGCCAGACAGTTGACACCAGCCTCCACTTTGGCAAAATAATTTTGATGGATCTGAGAGCTCATAGTTGGTTGAGGTTTTGGGGCTAACAAAAAAAAACAGTGTTAGCTGGTCCCAAAAATAGGAGATGGCTAAGATGGTCCCAAGGTTACGCCTGGAGATGAAAAATGGAGGGTAGTCGGAAGGCTGGAAGGGGGTATCACCGGGTCTGTTCTGTCCAAATACTGTTGAAGAGACCAATACATGGGACCATTGGGGGACTCATAATGTTTGTTATTTTATCATGGCCCATGCCAATAATTTAGCTATGCAAACCTATGACAGTATTTAAACAAACAAAAAAAAAGTACCATGAAATGAGATTAAACTTGTGTCCTGCTTGGTCAAGTAAAACTGTTTCATTCAAAAATGTAATTTAAAATCCCTTTTAACATTCCTGTGACTTCTCAACCCAGAATCTGGTTATCCTGGGATACAGCTGGATAATTAAAGGTAACTGACCCCAAGCCTGACCTAAGAGTGGAAGAGTGGCAATGTCAACCCAAAGGCATGTGGCCTGAACCCACAAGGTGGTACACAAGACAAGGATGAGCAGTCTCTTCTCCTATGACTTACTGCCTCTGAAAACATACTGGAGGATCAGCTAGTGATTAGTTCCAACTCAACACATAACAACTTAGGTTAAGCTGTGAACGTAAGTAAAGTACCTTGTATCCCAGGCCCAACTGATAAATTGCAAATATTTGAGCTGCATTTAGAGCTTCACTAAAAAGGTAAACTGCAGTCATCTGACCACAGAACACTCTATTGGCATCTGCTGTTTCTGACGAACCCAGGAAGCACTTGTCAAATGTCTGTGAAAGAAAATAAATTGTTAGAGAAAATGACATTTTCTCCACCAGAAATAATAAAAATCTACATAAAATAAAGGTTTTGTCCATTCTACACTAAAATTCAAATAAATTTCAAAAATCAGTTTAACATTTCAATTGTTACCATTTGGAGTGAAGATTAAGAAACAAAAAGAGAACACAATGTTTCCAAAGTACAATAAATAAAACTTGATGATTGTCTATCAAATGGATAATAGAATTTAAAAGTTCCTAACTTGAACAAAAAGAATCAGATAGAAGAGTAGGTTTTAGGTAAAAAAATAAAATAATGTCTGTTTGGACATTCTGAATCACTCTTTTGGATGAGTTAATATGGATGGAATTTTTAAAAAATCTAAGGAATAGTAACCAACAAGACTTCATAAACTGTATGAGTAGTCAAAGCTAGAAAAACATAGTTTTGAGGACATCAAGATAAAGATAGTAAATAAAGTCATGAGAACAGATATAATCTCTAAAAACAAATGTACAAATCAAGAACAGCAGGTTTATGTCTCATTCAAAATTTAAAGAACAACAAAACCCTCTTAATACTGCCCAGGTTACAAAGGGCAAATTTTTAGCAATTTATATGTACAACAAAGAGGAAACAAAGATCCCCTTGAATCATATCCTTTCATGCTGAAAGCATTATTTTATTTTATTAATTAAGCATAACCATGTTATAATTATAAAAAGCTACTTGGTGGCATTAACATGGTGGTTACAATAATGGGCTCAAATATAACATCTATCATGAGGATGGTAAAGGACTACATTGAGTGATATTTAACGTCTATGGTACACAGGGGGGCTACAAGCTGGAACAGACTCAACAGCACCTAACAATAACAACAAAGTTTATATACAAATTCTAAAATTTTATTTGAAAAGTTTGTGTTAGTAAAATATTTTAAGATAACTTTTCAAACTACTTACATCACTGGTGTTAACAAACCATGTTATCTCTCCATAGGAAGCTAGTTCGCCATTCACATAACATCGAAGTTCACTGTTTTTCCATCGGTTATAAATGTGCACTATAGTTACCATATACCACTGAAAGAGTAAAACCAGTTTATTTAATATAGTAACCTTTCCATATATAGTAAACTATATGGTGAACTATATTTGTAATTACAAGTAAAAATTCAATGACAAATGTAACTAAATTTTAAGACAGATGCACTTTATTAAACTCAATATTCAACTTAAGAAAATTACTTTTATTCAGGAAGTTTGTATGTACTGTGAACTGAACCACTACAAGTTGGTTTTTAACTTCTCATTATGAAAATTTTCAAATATATAAAAAAGTTAAAAGTAGAAGAAAAAAAGAGAAAACAAAATGGGGGGTAGAGAAAATAGTGCAACAATGAATGAATGGAAATCCAAAATCTCTGTAAATGTTCATTAAAATTAACAAAAAATTTAAAAAAAATGTTGAAAGTCTAGTAAAAACCTTTTTCACCAAGTAGATTTTACAGCTTTTAATATTGTGCTATATTTCTTTACCTGTCGTTTAGGCATGTTGCTAGGAGGGGATATTCCTTGGAGAAGGACATGATGCTGGGAAGGGGAGAGGGTTGTTGAAGGAGAAGGAAGACCCTCACCAGGTGGACTAATACAGTGACTGCTGAAATGGGCTTTTGTGTGTTGGGAAGTGTGAGAATGGTATAGGATAGAACAGGGTACAAGCTTCTGTACATGGGGTCGCTGTGAGTCGTACTCAACTCGACAGCACTTAACAACAATCATCTGTGTGTGTGTGTGTGTGTGTGTGTGTGTGTGTGTATACAATATATGTCTTGCTAATGATTCACTTATCAATCCCAAAATACTATGGTAAAAAAGAAAAAAAATTAAATTTAAATTATTAATGTCTAAACTACTAAAGATATTTTCCCATTTATATTCCTTAAACTCTGTAAATAACTGAGCAGTCTAAAGAAAACTGAAGAGGTTAACAACTGCCCAGTAGTTTACAGTTTGTTTTCTGAAACAATGTTAACTGTTATTTACCATATTATATGCAACTAAGTATGAAACAGTTATTCTGAAAACTAGCGTGATGTGTGAACATAACTATGACTAAGTAAGACAGCATACCTTTTGGGGCTTGAAATCAAATTTCACACAATGTTGAAAGCCTTTTCCTTTTGATTTTATTGAAGTTATAATCAAACAGCCTCCAACAAAATGAGCAGAATAACCAAGACCTTTGCTGGTTCTGAAACTGTGAAAAGTAAGTTTTCATTATACTAAATATTTTACTCATTTTAAAATTAAATTAAAGAGACTGAGTAGCTACAGAAATACATACCAGTATAAATAAGGCTTATCTTTATCCACATTAATATTATTTACAGGATCCATTCGAAGCCAGGTATGAAATGTAAAACCATTCTGGTAGGGCCATTTGGCTATAGGAGGTAATGCAATAGCCTAAAGGAGAAATATTTTCATTTACTAACTCACAATAAATGCTTTATTGAAATAATGAAAATGAGACTTTACAACTATAAACATGCATATGCATATAAGTATGTATATTATAACATATTCTTATATTCAAAATCAAAACATCGGAAAGACTTTCAACAACTCCTAAATTTCTCCAAATACAAAAAAAAAAATTATGTTAATTAAATGAAAGAAACATGACCTGCTGAACAGACTATCTTCTTTCATTTCATGGAATAAACAGACCCAGAGAGATGCCAAAGTAAAGAGAGAAACCATGAAACCAAATTGCAAATCTATTGCTGAAATTAGTAAAGTTTTTTGTAAAGCTAATTAACAATAATGTGATAAAATGAATAAAAATTAAAAAATTTAAAAAATGAGTAAAAATAAACAGTTTACTATATATTCCATTTTTAAAAAAATAACCTCAAATAAATAAAATAGATCTATAATACTCAAAATAATTTTGACAACAAATAAGGGAGTATTTGTACTTTCAATTTTAAAACTTACTTGTGAGTTTTGAAATGCATATGAAAATATTTATAAGTGGTATCCACTTCCAAACCACTAAGACAGCTATAATCAAAACAACAGATAGCAAACAAGTAAAATGATATGAAAAAAAAATCCCTCACACACTAAGGATGAGATCTAAATATATAGTCATTTTGTTCCTTGTTCATGGAACTCAGCACAGTAAAAACTACAATTTTATCAAAAGCAATCAACCTGTACAATGCCTCATAATAAAGATACCGCATTCATTTTGCAAAACTATAGAAAAGACAACAGGCAAGTATTCCAGGGGCCCTAGGATGGGAGCCCTAGGCAGTTACCACGGAGGCTTTGGTAGCAGTCTGCAGGGTTGGGCTGTGGACTGGGTGGTGGGAGGGGCGGCAGAGCTCGAGGATGCAAAGCTCCCTGTCACCAACCTGGGCCATCTGGTCAAAGATATGAAGATCAAATCCTTGGAGGAGGTTTATCTCTTCTCAATGATCATCAAGGAGTCTGAGATCATTGACTTTTTCCTGGGGATGTCCCTGAAGGACAAGGTCTTGAAAATCATGCCTATGCGAAAGCACACACGTGCCAGCCAGCGGACCAGATTCAAGACCTTTGTCGCCATTGGCAATTTTAATGGCCATGTTGACTTGGGTGTCAAGTGTTCCAAATAGGTGGCTACTGCCATCCGTAGGTCCATTATCCTAGCCAAGCTCTCTATTGTCCCTGTGTGGCATGGTTACTGGTGGAACAAGATTGGCAAGACACACCATTCCCTGCAAGGTGACTGGGCGCTGTGACTCAGTGTTGGTGCATCTGATTCCTGCAACCTGAGGCACTGGAATTTTACCTGTGCCCAAGAAGCTGCTGGTGGTGACTGGAATTGATGACTGCTACACCTCAGCCAGGGCCTGCACAGCTACTCTGGGCAACTTCACCAAGGCCACCTTTGATGCCATCTCCAAGACCTACAGCTACTTGCCCCCAGATCTCTGGAAAGAGACTGTGTTCACCAAGTCTCCCTACCAGGAATTCACTGACCAGCTTGTAAAGACTCACACCAGAGTCTCTGTGCAGAGGACCCAGGCTCCAGCTGCCACCACATAGTAGATTTTGTATAACAAATAAAGTGGATTAAGTTAAAAAACAAAAAAAAAAACCCATCAAATGGGGAAATGACAACCTCTTCAACTAATGGGACTAGAGACACTGAACTTCCACCTGCAGAAAGCTGAGGCAGGATCCACATCTCATACCATACATGAAAATCAGGTCAAAGTAGATCAGAGACCTCGAGGTAAAGCTCAAAACCATAACTATTGTAAGATACAAAATGAGACAAAACTTTAAAGGCCGAACCGATGGAATGAGTACTGGTGGCCTAAAGGCAAGAAGCTGCACTGAAATCCCAAAGGTAAGCAATTTGAAAACACCAGCTGCTCCATAGGAGAAAAATGGGCAATCTCCTACTAGTGCCTCTGAAATCCACTAGAGGGTCATATATGGGTCAGTTCTGACTCGATAGTATACAACAACCACCACTTATGACATAAAAAGGTTGGCAAATACAGCCAGAAATGCACAAACAAGAAAAGATAAAACACAGATGAATGAGATCTTCTAAAAATTAAGTCCTTGTGTGCAACAAAAACTTTTTTTCCCAATAGAGTGAAAAGAAAACCTACAAACTAGGAAAAAGTATTTATCAATATTTTCTCAGACAAGGGTCTGTTAACAAAAATTTACAGAATAACACATAGTCTCCACTAGAAAAAAAGACAGCTCTATTACAAAATGGGCAAAAGATATAGAAAAACTTTCACAGAAGAAGACATTAAGACATCCAATAGACACATGAAGCAAAGTTCAAAATCACTGACAATAAGAGAGATGCAAATCAAAACTACAATGAGTTATCATCTTACTTTAATTGTAGTGGGAAAGTTTAACTGAACAAGAAGCAATAAATGATGGAAAGGATGTGGAGAGACTGGACCTCTCATACACTGTTGGTGGGATTGTAAACTGGTACAATCACTTTGGAAGGTAGCTTGGCATTTTCTCAAAAAGCTGAACATACAGATCCCATATGACCCAGCTATTCCACTGTAAGGACTATGCCTCAAGTTAAACTGAGACACAAATGGAGACTGGTGCACTGATGTTTATAGCAGCATTATTTACAATATCAAGAACTAGCCCAAATGCCCATCAACAAATGACAAGACTGAGAAAATGGAGTACATTCACATGATGGACTACTATGCAGCACACTACAGAGGACTGATTTGAAAATAATATATAACATGAGAGAGGCTAGAGAACATTGCACTGAGTGAATTAACCAAGGCGATAAAAACAAATATTGCATAAGATCGTTATTGTAAAAACAGAAGAATACCTGGTGAGATGTGTATGGATATCTAAACGCAGAAGGGGAGAGAGCAGAAAGACCAAGGGTGGGAAAGGGGGTATATCACAGAGACACAATTTGGTGAGTAGAGGGAGGGGGCAAAAAAAAATGTACATGAATGAAACTCAATGTAAACAAATTATTGTATGCAAACCAATTTTTAAAATTCAATAATAAATATATATGTTGTTGTTGTGAAGTGCCATAGAGTCCTTAACAACTCATAGCAACACCATGAACAAAAGACCTGAACACCTGTATAACTTTCATCGATTCTCCACGTTCATAGTTTCCGGAGGCAAACTATTTTGGAAGTAGATGTCACTCCTGCTTCCAAGCTTGTTTATTCAGGGAGCTCCACCAAACACTCTCCTCCGTGGATAACCTTTGTCACATTTGACACATCAGTGTCAGTGTTTAGCATCACAGCAACCACAAGTTACCTCTGTACAGCAAATGGACAGACCAGTGCTATATCACTTTGAATAATGTTTGACCAAAAGCAATTAAAACCAGGCCTGAGGGCCACAGATTAAAATCACCCACCTACAGTCACTTCATAAATAAACTTTCAATTCCTGAAAACATTAAATAACAACAATAGACCAGCAATGATTTTGAAAAATACTACATAACTGGGGAGAAACTGGAGAGCATTATGCTGAGTGTACTAATTCAGTCTCATAAGGACAAATACTACATAATACATTATTATAAAAATAGAAGGATAACATATATGGGGACCCACGGAGGGAAGGAGTGGGATCAGAGAGATGAGAATGGGAAGGCACGAAACCAGAGGGTTGCACAATTTGGTGGGTGGAGGAGGGAGGGGATGAAGGAAATGGGAAGGCTCTGGGTAAAAAGGGTAATGATGGGCAAGGTCCAATGGAGACTGATTTTATAAAGCATAATGCATGTGAATTACTGTATGAAACACAATATGGATGAATGGTGTAAAATACAGTGTTTACAAAATTGTGAGCAAATCAATATTTAAAAAAAGAAAAAATATAGACATATGGTCCAGCAATTCCACTTCTAGGTGAGACCTAAGAAAAAAGTCCATACAAAAACTTATACACAGCTATTCATAGGAACATTATTCCTAACAGTCAAAAGATATGGCATCAGTCCAAATGTTCATCAACCCATGAATGGATAAATAATATGTTATATTATTCATAAAAAGAATTCAAGTATGGATATATGTTGCAACAAATAAACTCAAAAAACATTATGCTAAATGAAACATACAAGTCAAAAAATGTCAATTTATAATTCTAATTATATGAAATGTCCAGAATAGACAAATTTATATAAACAGAAAGTAGATTAATGGTACTCTACAGATGGATTTTCTGGGGCTGGGGTATAACTGCTAATGAGTACAGCATTTCTTTTGGGAATGATGAAAATTTCCTAAAATTAAGATAGTGGTGACAGATATACAACTTTGTAAAAATATTAAACACTATTAAATGGTATGGTTTAAAACAGTTTACTGCATGTTAACTCAATGTATGTAAATAAAGGTGGGGGTTTTTGGTGTTTTTTTTTTCTTTCTTTTTAGACAAGGGGGAATATTTATTGCAAAAAGTAAGGACACTAGAAGAAGGCCTATCTAAAGTCCTGGGGAGGGCTCTCTTTAGAAGAACTGCCTTCCAGTGGGTAGGATGACAATTTGCTCATTTATCTGAAAGAGGACCAAAAGGGCCAGAATGGGAAGAAGTTCAATCTAGTTTGTCGGTGACTTCTGTCATCCTGTTGCCTTCCTCAAGCACACACTGAAGACCCCAGGCAACAGGGACTATGCGAGGTCTCGAAAAGACCAAAAAAATTAGTTCTTCTTGAAACTCTGCTGGAACACTTCAATGAAAAACTAGAAGTCTTTCGTAGGCCATGCTTGGCAAGATCTTAGTCTCCAGAGAGACACCACTACTTTTCAGTATAAAGGTTTTTTTTTAAACATAGTATACAAGCTTTAGTGTCACTATGCTTTTATATTAATACATCATTTATCCTCTAATATATAGTAAACATATAAAACATGCAAAATATCAACCTTACTTTATGTAAAAGCATTACTAGGTTCTTATTTTTTTAAAAATGTTTCATTAAGAAAACCAAAAGGAAAAAAAATTGAAAAACCCAAAAGAAGACAGACTTGGCATATCTTTGCGGCAGTAGAAATGGGAAAGTCTTGTGTATTTGTCTATGAATATTTTTACTTTCATTTACAATACATTTCTATGTAAATAAAAGGGAAAAAATAGGTAACATGGATGAATCTGGAGAGCATTATACTGAGAAATAAATTAGATACAAAATACAGTTTACTACTTTAGGATGGCCTAGTAGTAAGAAAATACACTGCAATTTCAAAGGCATGTAGTTCAAATCCACCAACTATTCCATGGAAAGAATGGGCAAACTCCACCTGTGGAATTTACTCTCTCGGAAAACATGCTGAAGAGTCAGCTATGGGACGGTACACAACAACAACAACTATTTAAAAGAGCTAAGGAAAAGTGTACAAAGAAAGTAAAGTATTTTAGAGAGTCATCAGGAATGGGAGGAGAATAGAATGAGAGTGAAAACTAGTGATTAGATAATCAACGTTAATGTGAGTGAAGATAAAGACTACATAAAACAATAGATAAGCATCATGTCATTAAAAGACAGAGACCTGCCCAAAAGTTATACACAACAAAAGGCTACCACACACATGACTCCATATTTATTACCAGTAATAACAGACATTCACTTGCAAGTGGATAATAGGCATGTAGAGAAGACAAATAGAAATGGACAAGTGAAAATGACTACACCTAAAATCATATATAATATAATCTGGCAAATGATAGTTCCATATAAGTGTTTGTATAAGCTACAAATACATATATTTACCTAACAGCCAACAGGGGGCAATATTACATAACCCTCAATATTGCATAGCAAAACACCTTGAGGGAATGAGTCCTGGGCTCTTAGGACCTTGGGCCATAGTCCCAAGGGACACCAATTCTACTAGTATAATAGAGCCCACAAGGACAATGTTGTACATTCTATATTGGTGACCAGAGACTGGGGGCTTAAAAGCTTACAAGTTTTGAAAGCACAACAATTGGCCATTTCATGTCTGAAGAGTAAAGATATTAAAAAAAAAAAAAGAAGTAATAATTAGTTCATAACACCTATGGACCTTGTAATCTTAAACTACCATAATTCTTAAACTAAAACAACAGGTTGGTGTCTAGCTAACCACTGCTAACACCCTCCCTTATAAGGAATCATAAGAGAAGGTCCAGACAGAACAAGAGATAAACATATAACAAGACTAAAATTATAACAAAAGCAGGCCTGACAGAAACTTGTGGAACCTCAGACACTGGCCCTCAGAGAGCCTTTGGGCCTGGACAAGAACTACTTTCCTGCACAACTTTCACACAAATAATAGACGGAGATAGAAGGTAAAGCTTAACACTAAGGAGATATAGCATTTAAAATGCTCAGCTACATGACATCGCAAGGACAGTATTTATCTAAAAATAAAATCAAGAAAGTAGAAAAGACTTTTCACAGAGGAAGACATTCAGATGGCCAACAGACACATGAAGAAATGCTCAAAATCACTGGCTGTAAGAAAGATAAAACCACAATGGACACCATCTCACCCCTATACAAGTGGACAAAGTTTAATAGGGCAGCAAGTAAAAAATGTTGGAGAGGATGTGGGAAAGTGGAGACTCTCATACATTGTTGGTGGGACTGTAAAATGGTGCAACCACTCTGGAAGACAATTTTAGCATTTCCTCAAAAAGTTGAACATAGAAACTCCCTATGACCCAGCTTTTCCACTACTAAGAATATAGCCCAAGGAAATTAGAAATGAGACAAAAATGGAGATTTGTATACCAATGTTCATAGCAGCATTATTCACCATTTTCAAGAACATGAAAACAGACCAAATGTCCAATCACAACTGAACAGATTGAGAAACTAGGGTACAATCACACAATGTAATACTCAATGTAGCACGGAGGAGCAATGATTTTTAAAAATACTACATAACATGGGAGAGGATGGAGAGTATTATGTTGCGTGAACTAACACAATCTCATAAGGACAAATACTGCTTAAGACGATTATTGTAAAAGCAGAAGGGTAACTAGTAAAACATGTACAGAAACTCAAGGTCGGGGAGCAGAGGGCTGAGAATAGGTAAGGGCAAAACCACAGGACTGCACAGTTTGGTGGGTAAAGGGATTGGGGGAAGCAAATGGTAAGGATCTGGGCAAAAAGACACGAGTAATGACGGGCAAGGTCCAATGGTGATTGATTTTATAAAACATAATGCCAAGCAACAAATGCTGGCGAGGTTGTGGAGAGGCTGGAACCCTTATTAACTGTTGGTGGAAGTGTAGAATGGTGCAACCACTGTGGAAAGCGGTGTGGCACTTTCTCAAAAAGTTGCAAATAGAGAAACCATTTGACCCAGCAATTCCACTACTGGGAATATACCCTAAAGAGACCATAACCGACATCCAAGCAGATATATGTACACCCATGTTTACTGCAGCTTTGTTCACAATAGCAAGGAGTTGGAAACAACCTAAGTGCCCATCAAGAAATGAATGGATAGAGAAGCTGTGGTAAATTCACACAATGGAATACTACGCTGCATTGAAAAATAAGGAACTCATGCAATATTATTCAAAATGGGTGACCCTGGATGACATTATGCTGAGTGAAATATTTCAGTCACAAAAGGACAAACACTGCATAGTACCACTGCTGTAGAATGGGACTGACATCATGGTTGGGGTAAGAATGAGAAAAACTGGGAAAATTATGTATACTGCACTGAAACGGATGAGGGAGAGAACAGTTTAAAAGCAATATATTATAGGGCATTATGATTATCATAAGAGTCCAGAATGAAGGTTGCAGAGTGGAGTATACTCGGTGTGGAGGTAGGGGGTATGGGGGGGACTGTATACCAATGAAGGAATTTTTCTTTTACTTTTCAAAGAAAAGAGTGTACTGGGGGGTGGGGTTGGGGATCCGAAATCTCTGTAAATGTTCACTGAAATTAATAATTATAATTAAAAAAGCATGAAAATGATTGCATGAAACACAATGTGAATGAAGAATAATGTGAAACACAATGTATATAAACTTTGAAAGCAAACCAATTAAAAAAATAAAATAAAAAAGAATGTATATGAATGATTGTATGAAACAAAATGTAAATAAAAGACTGTATAAAGCATAATGTATATGGATGATATATAATGTAAAGGAATTATTATATGAAAACCAATAAAAAATATTTTTAAAAAGTAGAAAAGATGGATGAAAACAAGAACCATGGAGAAATAGTGGAAAAGAGTGATGATCAAATGCAAATTATTATAATCAGTATCAATCAAAAAACAACATACCTGTTTTGTAAGCTTTAACTCAATAACATCAAATAACATCTGTTTTGTAAGCTTTAACTCAAATTATATATAATAAAACAAATGTATGAGTCACTGAATAAGTTGAAAATACATATTTATAAAATGTTTAAAGCTCTTTAGTAGATATTTTATAATCTCAAAGAACTGTAACTAATCATATATCATAATGAGTCATTTTTTTAAAATTAGCAATTCCATAAGGACACTCTTTTATGTGACAGGCAAATCAAAGGTCAATGTAACAACAGTAAAGTTATTCAAGAAAATTTTCAACTTGAACCCACTGTTACACTGTCTGGGTCAGCCAATTGTTGAGAGTCTTCCGTTTTTTAAAAATATAAGATCAACTCATTGTTTTTGTTCAGACATTCCTCTAGGTCATATAGCCCTGGTGTACAAGTTGCCGTCCCACGGTCACTTGTGGTTGCTGTGAGGCTGAACACTGTGACAAGGATGTGTCAAATGCGTTAATGGTTGGCTACCCAATGTGGACTGAGAGTGGGGTGGAGCTCCCCGATTAAACAAGAGTGGAAGGAGGAGTGGCATCCACTTCCATAATAGCTTGCCTCTGGAAACCCTATGAACCTGGTGAGAGGATGAAAGGCACCCAAGCGTCGATGACTCTCCTTCATAGGGTCGCTATGAGTCGCCTGCAACTCGATGGCACTTAACAACAACAACAACAACAACAAGATCAACTTAGTCTGATAAGTTTTTATCATTACCACAATTAACAGAAAGTTAAGATGCACAATTTTTGCAAGGATAAAGTCAGCTAACATAGAGAAGCTTCCACCGAACACAGAGCCTGACTACGGTATCTACAGGGAAATACTTTTTCAAAAGCAAAAGGCAGCCAAGTGACTTAAGTAATATTTACTTACTGCAGCACTCTTTCCAGGAAAGTTGAAAAAGGCATCAGGGCCATACTTCTGAGGCATATGTTTTAGCACAGACAGCAATTTCCCAGCATGTGGAGGCTATAAAAACAATCACCAATTTACTCATTACTCAAAAATTTTAAATTTTCTTTTTCATTAAAACTATGTTTTACTATACCGGCAGACTTAATGATTGCGTTCTTTCTTATGAGTTCATAGTAAATCAGCTCCAGCAAGAATCTAAAACTCTTTTAAAAAAATTTTAATTTTAACAGCTTTTTATCACCAGTGTCTTCATAAATCTGATAGATATTTCTCTTTAGGGGTAGGATATAGTGAATACAAACTTATGTCTACCATATCTATTATGACAGTAATAAATTATCACGTATGTAATATATATTCTTAATGATGCTGTTGTTGATTATTCTGTTGAGTTGAAACTAACTCATACTTGATCCTCCAGGATGTTTTCCAAAGCTGTAAAATATACAGGAGGAGGCTGAGCATCTTTCTGGCAGACTTAAACCATCTGCTTTTGAGTTGGTAGCAGAGCTCCCTACCCATTAGGCTACCAGCACTCACTAACAATGATGTTGTTATTATGTGTCATCGATTCGCCTGTGACTCATAGCGACCCTGTATACAACAGCCCTATGCCCTGCTCTATCTTGTGCCAATCTTACTGTCTCTGACACACCTACCCCCATTTCCTGAGTTACTGAAAATCTATCCATCTCATAACAATGATGAGACATGTTAAAACCAAAGAAAGTCTTAAATACTTTGCTGAACCTTAAGCATGTCTTAATTCAAGGTTTACTATGAGGAGGGAGAAAAATGTGCAACAATGAATGAATGGAAATTCACGTTGACTATAAACTTTCATTAAAGTATCAGTTAAAAATAAAAAAATAAATCCAAATTAGAAAAGTATCAATAGAAAATAATAACAAAAAATGGTTACTTATAAATAATTAAACAACCCTTTTAAACTTGAAAGCACACAAAATGGTTATTTTTCAAAGAAATAAGCAATGTTCTCTATGTCATTTTTTTAGGGCAGTAAGGTATTAGGGCAATCTGGAGATGAAGTCTAGTGGAAATAGAGCAGCTAACCAAAAGGCTGCACACTTCTAGCAGTCTGAAATCACCAGACTCCACAAAAGATGGGCAGTTTTCCCCCTTGCAGTTTACCAACTCAACTGAATGTCAACTGTCTTTTACCATTTTATAACTTTATTTGATAATCAGCTATTAGTTTTCATCCATATTGACGGTCTATAGATATTTGAAAGTAGTGACAGGTACATGGGTAACCAGTGTACACAGCCTGTTTGGGGAATCTTCATCTTCATTAAGTCTTCTAGACATCTGTATACGGATGTGGTTCTGGGACATTCCTTCTTCCTTTGGCCCAGATGGCTTTGTTAAGTCTGGTGTAGATGTGAACATATGGTGTTCCCATCTCCTTCATGGCAAATGAATGTCAATTTTTACACACTCTCAACTAGATACCATTGAATTGAGTTTTGAGTTGGTAAGTTATATTAGATGTTCAATAGATAGAAATCAGTGCAGTGTGATGCTTGAAACTCTGTAGAAAAATTACTTAATTATAAAGTACAGTATATAAATGTTCATTTCAGCACTATTCACAATAACAAAGAGGCAGAAACAGCCAAATTCTAAATGTTATGTGGTGCTTCAACATGGATCAACCTTAAAAGCGTTAATGTTAAGTAAAATAAGACAATCACAGCTGGGCAAATACTATAAAAAGTTACTAATATGAAATACTTAAAAGATAAAAATGTATAGTGATCAAAGTTTAAAAGTGTTATCAGAGACAGAAAAGAGAGGGGAAACAATCATCGTTTCAGACACACTGAGATTCTGCGCATGGGAATGCAAATTCTAGCAATGGTACTGGGGATGGCTCAAACACTTACTAATATTAATTGGTGTCACTGTATTCACTGTATACAGGAAACATGCTGAAGGGAACTCTGGGGGCCTAGTGACAAGAAGCTGTGTTGCAATCCCAAAGGCACAGAGTTCGAATCCACCAGATACTCCGCTGGAAAAGGAGGGGCAATCTCCTCCTAGGCCAGTCAGATTCAACTCAACAGTACACAACAAGGGGGGGAAAAGGTGAACTGCCAAAAGTTGTGTTATCTTCAGTTTTACAACAATAAAAGCAATACAAATATCAAATCACCCAATCCTAATTAAAAATAACTTTTTTAAAAAAAAATAATTTCTACTATTAAATCACTCATCACTGACATTGAGTCAAAACTAATACATACTTGACCTTGTAAATCAGTTTTCTGAGGCTGCACAGGAGAATGTTCATCTTTCTCCTGCTGAGTAGTTGGTGGATTCAAATCCCCAGAGAGGAGCCACCTGTGAGTTGGCAGTGCAACCCTCTATAGACTATATCACTAAATTCTTTAGAAACTATGAGATATTTTAATGTCATAATCCCCATATAGATTGATAGTGTCATCATCTCATCACAGGAATGTGAGCCAGGACACAAAGGTACACAGGTGACCAGAGTCAACCTAACTTCACAGTCCATATTTCAGCTGTTCTATTTTCACAATATTTTTATGCATTCTCTCTAAAAACGGCTGTCTTTAAAAGTAAGAAATACTATGCTGTCTGTCACTATGTATCTCTTAAACATCCTGTTCATCCTCATTTTGTAATTAATCCACAGTCTCATATCCTAGGTTTCCCGCTGTTAGGCTTCAACACAAGTTATTCTTTGCTTGCGATGTTCTTGCCAGGTCTTCCCTAAGAAGTGTGTTGCAACGCTAATCGATAGGTCACACATCTCCAATGTTTCAAATCTACAAGCTACTCCTCAGTAGAAATATGTAAAGATTTTTATCATTAAGATTTGCCCCCTCCGGAGAACTTTTGAGTAGTAAGGCAGAATAGCTAATGACAGCCCAGATCTTCCTCAATAAGACTCTACAAAGCAAGACAGTAGATGCATATGATCATTATTGTTGCTAGGTGCCATCAAGTAAAGCACAACTCACAATGACCCTATAAACAGTTGACCTGAACACAGCCCTATCCTGAACCATTCTCACCATCTCTGACATACTAAAACTCATTGCTGAAGTCACTTTGTCAGTCCTTCTCACTAGAAATCTTCCTCTCCTTTGTGACCATCCAACTGTACAAGCACGATACTCTCTTTCAGGGAAAAGACTTGCATGGCTACATGTCCAAAGTATGAAAGAAAGAGCTTCACAATTTTTGCCGCCAAGGAGCACCCTAGCTGCACCTTTTCCAAGATATAGCTGTTTGTTCTTTCAGCAGTCCATGTATTCAGTACTCCTGTCAAGCACCACAATTCAAAGGCATCAGTTCTTCTTCTGTCTTCTAATTGTACAGATCTCTGGTGTATGTTGTTGTTGTTGTTGCTATTGTTATGTGCCGTCGAGTCATTTGCGACTCATAGCGACCCTATGTACAACAGCCCTAAACCCTGCTCTATCCCGCGCCACCCGCACTGCCTCTGACACACCCATCCCGATTACCCCAGTCACTAAATCAATCCACCTCATAGAGGGTCTTTCCCTCCTGCGCTGTCCCTCTACCCTACCAAGCATGATGTCCCTCTCCAAGGACCTATCTCTCCTTACAACATGTCCAAAGTATATCAGACAAAGCCCCAGAATCCTTGCCTCCAAGGAGTAGCCTGGTTTATCCCTCTCTAGGATGAATCTTTGTTTTCTTGGCAGTCTATGGTACATTCAATACTCTTCTGTAGCACCACAGCTCAAAGGTATCAATTCTCTTTCTAT